TTTTGTTTGCTTTTAAAATTTGTTCACCTCACCAGTCAGTTACGCCATTGCTTAGTGGTGCAACCCCTCCTAAAAAAATCCTGGATCCGCCCCTGAGGAGGTCACCACAACAATTTGCCAGTGCCCTGTTATACTGCTGTGGGAGGTACTGTGAGCGAAAGGTCTGCACATGGGACTTGCAAACAAGTTGTCCAGATTTGAGCCTGTACTAGGATCACTGTGTTGTGTTCTTGGGGAAGACCCTTTTTTGTTTACGTTCACAGTGGCTCACTCCATCAATCAGCATGGGTACCTGCGATAGGTTGGGACAATGGCAGTAACCTGTAATGAACTGGCACCCCATCCACAGGGGAGTGGTGATATTCCTAGCCACTTCATTTACAGAAACTGCAGTACGTTAAGCACCAAGGGCTATGAGCCAGTTGGCTTAAGAAGCTTTACGTTTTTAGTTATAATGCNATGAAGCCATCTTCCTTTTGTTTGCTTTTAAAATTTGTTCACCTCACCAGTCAGTTACGCCATTGCTTAGCGGTTCAACCCTTCCTAAAAAAATCCTGGATCCGTCCCTGAGGAGGTGACCACAACAATTTGCCAGTGCCCTGTTATACTGCTGTGGGAGGTACTGTGAGCGAAAGGTCTGCACATGGGACTCGCAAACAAGTTGTCCAGATTTGGGCCTGTACTAGGATCATTGTGTTGTGTTCTTGAGGAAGACCCTTTTTTGTTTACGCTCACAGTGGCTCACTCCATCAATCAGCATGGGTACCTGCAATAGGTTGGGACAATGGCAGTAACCTGTAATGAACTGGCATCCCATCCAGGGGGGAGTGGTGATATTCCTAGCCACTTCATTTACAGAAACTGCAGTACATTAAGCACCAAGGGCTATGAGCCAGTTGGCTTAAGAAGCTTTACGTTTTTAGTTATAATGCTGGTGAAAGAGAGCTGTCAATGTCTGTAATAAAACAAAAAAACTACACAATTATGCAGTTAATTATTTGCAAAGAAACAATTTGTCACTAAAACAGCACAAAACTGTTTGCAGCCATGCAATTTCCCCCTTTTCTTTGGAAACAACACAGCCTTTTTCACTGATCTTTATAATTATTTTGTTTGTGTGTGGCCATCAATGACTAATACCATGGGAATATGAAAATATTATTCATTTGAAAACATAGTAGCTTTAAGTATAGTGGAATACCAATTTCTCAAATCCTCATTTTTTCGAACCTCCTGATAGCTTGAACCAAAAGTCGTTCCCTCTCCTCAGTCGAACATTGTAATTTAACCCCTAATTTCTCAAACTCTCCAATTTTTCTAACCAACAAATTTGTTTCCCTTGGAGGTTTAAAAAATCAGGATTCCTCTGTACCAATCTGGTTAGTTGTCAGCAGGAGTGCCTTTAGATTTACTTCTGATTGATTGACGTTTAAATACCAGATCCTAATCTCCACCCAGTGTTGAAGTTTAATTTATTGTCATCTTTATCACAGGTGTAACTGCCATGCGCCTGAAGATGTGTTGCCAGCTTGCCAGGAGACTCTGAAAAATCTACAGTTAGACTACCTGGACTTGTACCTGGTAAAAAGTTTCATTTTATTTCTGTGGGCTTGGCTCCCTGGTTATGCAAAACATGAGATTTTTAACACTCAATTGAAAACTGCTCTAAAAGTTTCCATCAGATCATATATGAGAGAGCCAGATTTTTGCTGATTTTGACTAGTTGTTTGTTTTTACTTTAGGTACATTTTCCTTTGGCGTTTAAAAAAGATTCACCATATCCCAGATGCATTGCCGATGGTGTGATTGGATATTCCCCTGAAGGCATAGCAAATACCTGGAAGGTACATAGTGTACTTAGTACTAACCCAGGCTCTGGTTACAGATGCTTTTTAAGATGGTGGCTCTCTCATTGCAGAGCTGCCATCTTGAGAAGTATGAGAAGACTGTGAGATGAGGTTGGTACATAAGTGCACAGGCACCGTGAAATATTCCATACCAATAACTAGATGATTGAGATTGTACTGCAGTTATTCCTTTGTTAGGAACTTTATTTGAATCTTTGCTGAAGTACATTTCAAAACTGAACTAATTTAACCAACAGTTAAGTTAAACATAACTATTTAGAAAAGGCATGCACGTACAGGATTTCATCAACACTTTCAGCAGGATGGCAAGTGGTTTTCACAGGCGGGCAAAACTTTTTGAACTGTGCTTCTCAAACTCATTAATACATAAATTCATCTAGTTAAAACAAAGAAAATCACAACCATGAAGGAGGTTTGGATACCCGGTCTCAATTAGCATAGATTTTCCTTAGATTCTTTTTTTTTGATTGAGAAGATATATCAAACACTCAAGACAGTGTTTCATCGGCTATCCAAACACCTCGAATTTCATCAAAAATACTCACTGCACATCGTANCAGTTAAGTTAAACATAACTATTTAGAAAAGGCATGCACATACAGGATTTCATCAACACTTTCAGCAGGACGGCAAGTGGTTTTCACAGGCGGGCAAAACTTTTTGAACTGTGCTTCTCAAACTCATTAATACATAAATTCATCAAGTTAAAACAAAGAAAATCACAACCATGAAGGAGGTTTGGATACCCAGTGTCAATTAGCATAGATTTTCCTTAGTTTTTTTTTTTATTATAATTGAGGAGATATATCAAACACTCAAGACAGTGTTTCATCAGCTATCCAAACACCTTGAATTTCATCAAAAATACTCCACTGCACATCGTATTTTCAAGTCTCTTCTTGGTGTTTGGATGTCGCGATGAAACACTGTCTCTCTTGTTTGATATATTACTTCTTTGTAAGAAAAACTTTCCTCTAGATTGTCAAACCATACCAGGCAGGCATATTGTCCTCAGAGTCAATTTGCCTGGTGCCCAGCCCTTAAATGAAACCTCTGAAAGCTTAGTTTGAGTTTGAAAAGAAATTATTGAAAACAGCCACATGACAAGGGAATTATTAGTCTTGAAATAGATTTCTAGGTTTTTTCGCAGGATGGCAGTTGATTTTCATGCCGGGTAATATCTTTTTGAAATGAAATTCTTTATAAGAACACATTGTCGAGTTTGCTGAAGATAGACAACCAAGGTAGCCAAGTCATTCTTAGTCAGCCATCAAATTGATCTGGTACCCAGCCCTTAACGAAATTGAAAATGTTGCAGTATTTAGAGGCAGTTGCATGGCTTGTGGCAGATTTTGTCACTTAGTCTGTGATACAACCAGGTGTGAAATGGTCTTGTTGGCTTTTTATACAGGCCATGGAGAAGCTTGTTGATATGGGCCTCTGTAAAGCCATTGGAATCTCAAACTTCACTATAAAAAAGACTCAAGCTCTTCTGGAAACTGCCAAGATACCACCAGCCTGTAATCAAGGTATGCAATTGGGTTTTTATGGTTGAAAATGTTAAAGCTATATCTTTGAGAATTTTGTATTTATTAAAATAGATTTAGAATGTTTCATGCACCACACTTGTCAACAGCAGTTTAGTTGTGTACAGGCATGCTCTCCATTTTCCGTGTTGGGCATTAAGTTCATTGCACAAAATGGGTAGGGGAGAGGAAGAGGGTAAGATGATACACCTTATAGTTGTTAGAAAAATTAATGTGAATTATCTCAGTGATGGGTTATAATCAAAGGCATAATGCATAGGGTTAATAATTTAGTGTTTGTTGTTTATTTGACAGTGGAACTTCATCCTTATTTGCCACAAGAACAGCTCATAACCTTCTCCAAAAGTAAAGGTACAAACAGCAGCTCAACTCTGATTTTACCGTCAGTAAAGTGTTTGGTGTAAAAGATCCTTCTACTGATTTCATTCAGTGTATTGTTAATAACGTGACCATATTTTTCAAAAGATGAGCCCTTTTGTCATAAATCTGGGAAATCTATCCACAGCAAGCTCAAAAACATCACAAAAGTTGCAAAAGGTGGATTTAGCTTAACCAAAGCATGCCAGTTCTATCCATAAAGGCTAATAAACCATGCGCTAGAACTTCACATTTTGGCTATGTACAAAAATTTCCTTTACTCCTATCTTCATTCATGCAAATTTAACACTTTCTTTAGAAACGTTTTTCCACCAGCACCAATCCATGAGACAGAGTCGAGATGGAAACTCGGAGACTGTTTATTAAGCTCTTCTCTGTATGTTGAACCAAGACAATGCAAGACATCGTACAATGGGTGTCAGAGTGTGAAACTTGGGAAAAAATAGATAAGCTTAGCCTCAAATTGAATCGTGTATAATATGGAAAACAACCAACCACATGGACGTTCTGCCAAAATAAATGCTAATACGGAATGGCTTGACTTCCTGCAGACAAAAAAGTTCTAACCACCATGTACAACATCAAAGAGAGAGCTTCATGAATGAACTTACATGTACTGCTCAAGAGCTGTCATTTGTATGGTCAGCAACAACATTTATATCAAAAAAGGAAAGGAAACAATGATTTGAAGCTTATAAAATGGCATTAGCTGACTCTAACAACCATAACGCTAAGAAAAACTAGGCAGACAAGCAATAGTAAAGCTATTTACAATATAATATAGTATAAATGTAGAGAAGAAAATAAAAATTTCTGCTGGACGTCAAGCCACTCCGTGTTAGCATCTACGGCTTTGTCAGATCTTCCACGTGGTTGTTTGTTTTCCTAAATTAAACGCAATAGAAATGTTTGTCTATTTTGGAGCTTTAGTATGCCGGTAATCAAATGGTGACGAGTGAAATTAGGAAATAATTTCACACGCTTTTGCTTTTGTCGAAATTCTAAAACGCAAATGAAATTATTTCTTAATGTCACGAGTAAACCATTTGATTACCTTTAAATATCCTAGGTGACAAATTACGCTTACAATCCTGGGTTTTGACTTGTTCATTGTATCAAGAAATTTCGCGCCAAACGTTGCCACATGTAGCAATTTTATAATTTACATGTGAAATTATAAATTACCGTTGAAATTTTGCGCCAATTTGTCACCGATGACATTACGTGGATAACATCTTGTAATACATTTTTAAGGCATTATTGTAACAGCGTATTCACCATTGGGATCAGCTGATAGACCAGAAAGTTTCTATCCTAACAAGGCAACAGAGCCGATATTGTTGGAAAATCCAGTGCTGAAAACTATTGCGGAGAAACATAACATTTCCACTGCTTTGGTAAGAATCAACAGCGTCTAAACACAGATACGGTTTAACCCCTATTAAACGGCCGGTACCCTCGGGGAAATAGTGACCCCTTAATAGAGATAAAAACAATAGACCCATTGGGACTTTAATTACGGGCCGCCTAACAGGGGTGGCCGTTTAATAGGTGGCCGCATAATAGAGGTTCGACTTACACATCAAGTATACAATGCATTTTACGTGAGCTGACATGCGGGGGTCTGGTAAGAGTGTGAATGTAGGTCCGCGAGGCATCCAAACTTCACACGTAAATCTCAAGGGTTCGCATTTCCCTCCCACTTCTCGCTACAATTGTCTTAAGACAAACGATTGACTGCTCAAAAATATCCGTGAATTATTGACAAAACCTGAGAGACATTCAGGCCTGCCTCACACTATAGAGTAAGAGAGTACAGAACGAATTTTAGAGAAATTCACTCGTTACTTGCAAACACAATTATTCGTAAAATCACGCATCGCGTTTGTCTTTTAGTTACGTAGCTCTATATCCCACTTCCCTCGTGATGAATAAACCCTTTACTACTCTGATGAGCCTTCAGCCAGTTGTCGAATGCCGTTCTCTGATTGGTTACGCTACTCACTATCTATTCTGTTATGGATAGTGAGTTGTCCAGAAGTGTGCCCTTGTTAACAAAATGACGGCCACTTCTTTGCGTTTTTGAAGTGTCTATGAAGAGGATTTAGATAAAGTTTTGAACGAAAGTAGATTTATACTAAAACAATTAGATTTCTCAATCTCGATTTCTATGATATCACGCGATAGAAATCTCGAGTTTATAATCTAATTGTTAATTGTAATACGAATGAATGTTGGCACAGAGACACTTAGGTGTTTCTGTTGACATTTAGGAGAACACGACTGAAAACACCACGAAATGAATAACATTTGGACGCCTGGAAAGCCTGCCAAATATTAACTCACTTTTGTCCAAATTCTGTAGGTCTTTTTCTCTTTTAACCACAGGTCGCTCTAGCCTGGGGCATCAAGCGTGGAACTCCAGTCCTGCCTAAAGCTGTCTCTGAAAATCACATCAAAGAGAATCTTGAAGCACTTCATGTAAAACTAGACGAAGATGACATGAAGGCCATTAAAAACATTGGAATACATCACCGATATCATACCCAGACATGGATGTATAAACCAGATGAAATTCCTGAGAATTACTGGGACGGTGAAGACTGATTGTCTGTAGAATAACCGATAGTGCAATGTTTGACAATTACAGGGCAGCAGTGCATTGATGAAAGACAGTTACTTCTTTTAACGTTGTTAACGGAGTGCAACGCAGTTGTTTTGTGATCATAGCTAACCTCTGTTACCGTCAAGGAACTCCAAGTTATTATCCAGACCGACTTCGTGAAAAGAATTTCCGAGAACTGATAACGTCAAAGTATTCGTGGCATGAAACTTAAATCTTCAGAGAGGAGATCGTAACGGAGCTTCTTTACAACATCAAGTTTACAACATTTTCCATAAGCGTGCAGCCCTTACCAAAGAGGAAAAGTTTTCATTTAAAAGACGCGATTTAAGTGAAATCCTTGAAATTGGCATGCTTGCTAACTTAACTAAGGTTGGCAGCAGAAATCTGGTGAAGTCAAGAAAAACTCGCCCGGGTAGATCCAAAAACAAGAAGCCTGAAGAAGCTTAAACCGAAGATGAGCTAATTTTTGTTAAACAAAAATAAAGTCAATAACTAATAAATAAACTGCTTTTTCGCTCAAAAAAGATTAGTACACCTGTACCTGTTTCTCAGCGTGACATTCTCCGCGGCATTTGCGTTACAATAATAATGAAATTGGAGGTCAATGGCGTCCATGCAAAAAAGTGTCACTGTTATTTAAGTCAGTTGTTCTATAACACGGTTAAATGAAGAATAGTAACTTTTCTTTTTCGTTTATTTATTTAGAATGCAAATCAAGTACTTCAAACGCAAAATATTACAAGGGCAAAAACCGCAGGGTAACCCGAAAACACTGACCCCAGGGGCCCGTTTCTCTAAAGCCCCGGAAACTTTTCGGGCCCGTAAAGCCATAGCAAAATCTCGAACCTTAAGATTACAGAGCTGTTTTATTCACATATTCTTTATATAAGGAGAAGTTCCCTTCATAGAAGAAGTTTCAGGCGTATACACTTCTCCGTTTTTAGATACAGATGGACTAAAAATGGCTTTGCGGGCCCGAAAAGTTTCCGGGGCTTTCGAGAAACGGGCCCCAGGTCCGCGGAGCCTACTACGGACCGGGTTCGCGGACTACCTCACGGACCGGTCCACGAACTACCCCAACGGATCCTCTTTACGGACCATTCCAAAATAGAAGAAAAATAATAAATAAAGATTTCACTTATGGGTTGTCTTATAGATCACCGATGTCGGCGAAATTTCGAACGTTACGCTGTGCAAATGAACAGACTTGGGTTTTGAAAACCCCCCAAAATAATGCCTAAAGGGATGCCGCGATAGCAAACAGAAGGAAAGTTCTAATCTTCCATTCGTGGCTCAATCTGGCGATGAAAAGATGTGTTTTTAGGTCGTGTTAGCTTCGTTGTATCTGTAATTCCGCCGAGCAAATTGTGAAGCCTGGAACGAGTTCATAAACCCCCCAGAGAATTAGCTACAAAAAATGGCGGAGGGGTTGAGGCTTCCCGGACGCTTCCCGGTCTTTCATACAAGCCACAAAAGGAAATGGCAATGTGTAATACATGTAATATAAATGCGCCCGAGTCTGAACCCACATCTGTTACATTCGCACAGCGTTACGTTCGAAATTTCGCCGGCACGAGTAATCTATTGGACAAACCTTGAAAGAAATCTTTATTTATTATTTTTATTTCATTTTTAGGGCGTTCCGTGGAAGATTTCCGTAGGGGTAGGCCGTAAACTGATCCTTAAGGTAGTCCGAGGACCCGGTCTGTAGCGGGAGTCCGCGGACTGGGGATCAGCGTTTTCGGATTACCCCTCAGTATCAGATGGCTGTCTGGCCGTGTCTGGTCATCGCTTTTTAAAATATCGATCATATTTTATTCTTTTCTTATACATGAGCTCTGAAAGAGAGAAAAAAAAAATTTTCAGTCTTTGAAAACATAAGATTTGTCGTGGAAGAAAGCGCGAGCTCGTTGCATTGTTTCGTGTCAATTCGTGACTAATCCAAACCTTTCAGGCTGTTGCAAACAATAAACACTTCAGAAATTATCTTTGGCGTTCACGGTTTAACTGAAAAAACTAAAATAGCCCAAAGAAAATACATCCACTGACTGGTTAAAAATCGTGTTTTTATAAACAATTATGAGCTCGAGATTTCCATCGCGTGATAGATGACGAGGGCACAGCCCGAGTCAACTATCACGCATAGAAATCGACAGGGAATAATCTAATTGTTTTAGTATATATCTACTATTCGTTCAAAACTTAATCTAAATCCTCTTCACAGACACTTCGAAAATGCCAAGAAGCGGTCGTCATTTTGTTAACAAGGGCACACGGCTACGCTATTCACTATTCACTAAAGCTGTCTCTGAAAATCACATCAAAGAGAATCTTGAAGCACTTCATGTAAAACTAGACGAAGATGACATGGAGGCGATTAAAAACATTGCAATACATCAGCGATATTTTGTTCAGACATGGATGTACAAACCTGAGGAAATTCCTGAGAAACACTGGTACGGCGAAGACTAAAACCGGTTGAGACAAATGTAGTTTATATTCATAGTTGATAGACCCTTTTTTACCGATATGGCAGCCACTTTAAATTAATTCTTTCAAATAGCTATTATGGGATACTCAGGGGGCAAATAAATGCTAATTTGACCCCTGAGCATCCCATAATAGCTATTTGAAACAATTAATTTAAAATGGCCGCCGTATCGGTAAAAAGGTCTATTGCTGATTGTCAACGCTAATCGCAATGATGAATGAAGCAACCAGCACTGAGTTCTTAATTGTGACTTAAAACGGCGACAGGATAAAAGTTTTTTCGCAGGATGGCAGTTGATTTTCATGCCGGGTAATATCTTTTTGAAATGAAATTCTTTATAAGAGCACATTGTCGAGTTTGCTGAAGATAGACAACCAAGGTAGCCAAGTCATTCTTAGTCAGCCATCAAATTGATCTGGTACCCAGCCCTTAACGAAATTGAAAATGTTGCAGTATTTAGAGGCAGTTGCATGGCTTGTGGCAGATTTTGTCACTTAGTCTGTGATACAACCAGGTGTGAAATGGTCTTGTTGGCTTTTTATACAGGCCATGGAGAAGCTTGTTGATATGGGCCTCTGTAAAGCCATTGGAATCTCAAACTTCACTATAAAAAAGACTCAAGCTCTTCTGGAAACTGCCAAGATACCACCAGCCTGTAATCAAGGTATGCAATTGGGTTTTTATGGTTGAAAATGTTAAAGCTATATCTTTGAGAATTTTGTATTTATTAAAATAGATTTAGAATGTTTCATGCACCACACTTGTCAACAGCAGTTTAGTTGTGTACAGGCATGCTCTCCATTTTCCGTGTTGGGCATTAAGTTCATTGCACAAAATGGGTAGGGGAGAGGAAGAGGGTAAGATGATACACCTTATAGTTGTTAGAAAAATTAATGTGAATTATCTCAGTGATGGGTTATAATCAAAGGCATAATGCATAGGGTTAATAATTTAGTGTTTGTTGTTTATTTGACAGTGGAACTTCATCCTTATTTGCCACAAGAACAGCTCATAACCTTCTCCAAAAGTAAAGGTACAAACAGCAGCTCAACTCTGATTTTACCGTCAGTAAAGTGTTTGGTGTAAAAGATCCTTCTACTGATTTCATTCAGTGTATTGTTAATAACGTGACCATATTTTTCAAAAGATGAGCCCTTTTGTCATAAATCTGGGAAATCTATCCACAGCAAGCTCAAAAACATCACAAAAGTTGCAAAAGGTGGATTTAGCTTAATCAAAGCATGCCAGTTCTATCCATAAAGGCTAATAAACCATGCGCTAGAACTTCACATTTTGGCTATGTACAAAAATTTCCTTTACTCCTATCTTCATTCATGCAAATTTAACACTTTCTTTAGAAACGTTTTTCCACCAGCACCAATCCATGAGACAGAGTCGAGATGGAAACTCGGAGACTGTTTATTAAGCTCTTCTCTGTATGTTGAACCAAGACAATGCAAGACATCGTACAATGGGTGTCAGAGTGTGAAACTTGGGAAAAAATAGATAAGCTTAGCCTCAAATTGAATCGTGTATAATATGGAAAACAACCAACCACATGGACGTTCTGCCAAAATAAATGCTAATACGGAATGGCTTGACTTCCTGCAGACAAAAAAGTTCTAACCACCATGTACAACATCAAAGAGAGAGCTTCATGAATGAACTTACATGTACTGCTCAAGAGCTGTCATTTGTATGGTCAGCAACAACATTTATATCAAAAAAGGAAAGGAAACAATGATTTGAAGCTTATAAAATGGCATTAGCTGACTCTAACAACCATAACGCTAAGAAAAACTAGGCAGACAAGCAATAGTAAAGCTATTTACAATATAATATAGTATAAATGTAGAGAAGAAAATAAAAATTTCTGCTGGACGTCAAGCCACTCCGTGTTAGCATCTACGGCTTTGTCAGATCTTCCACGTGGTTGTTTGTTTTCCTAAATTAAACGCAATAGAAATGTTTGTCTATTTTGGAGCTTTAGTATGCCGGTAATCAAATGGTGACGAGTGAAATTAGGAAATAATTTCACACGCTTTTGCTTTTGTCGAAATTCTAAAACGCAAATGAAATTATTTCTTAATGTCACGAGTAAACCATTTGATTACCTTTAAATATCCTAGGTGACAAATTACGCTTACAATCCTGGGTTTTGACTTGTTCATTGTATCAAGAAATTTCGCGCCAAACGTTGCCACATGTAGCAATTTTATAATTTACATGTGAAATTATAAATTACCGTTGAAATTTTGCGCCAATTTGTCACCGATGACATTACGTGAATAACATCTTGTAATAAATTTTTAAGGCATTATTGTAACAGCGTATTCACCATTGGGATCAGCTGATAGACCAGAAAGTTTCTATCCTAACAAGGCAACAGAGCCGATATTGTTGGAAAATCCAGTGCTGAAAACTATTGCGGAGAAACATAACATTTCCACTGCTTTGGTAAGAATCAACAGCGTCTAAACACAGATACGGTTTAACCCCTATTAAACGGCCGGTACCCTCGGGGAAATAGTGACCCCTTAATAGAGATAAAAACAATAGACCCATTGGGACTTTAATTACGGGCCGCCTAACAGGGGTGGCCGTTTAATAGGTGGCCGCATAATAGAGGTTCGACTTACACATCAAGTATACAATGCATTTTACGTGAGCTGACATGCGGGGGTCTGGTAAGAGTGTGAATGTAGGTCCGCGAGGCATCCAAACTTCACACGTAAATCTCAAGGGTTCGCATTTCCCTCCCACTTCTCGCTACAATTGTCTTAAGACAAACGATTGACTGCTCAAAAATATCCGTGAATTATTGACAAAACCTGAGAGACATTCAGGCCTGCCTCACACTATAGAGTAAGAGAGTACAGAACGAATTTTAGAGAAATTCACTCGTTACTTGCAAACACAATTATTCGTAAAATCACGCATCGCGTTTGTCTTTTAGTTACGTAGCTTTATATCCCACTTCCCTCGTGATGAATAAACCCTTTACTACTCTGATGAGCCTTCAGCCAGTTGTCGAATGCCGTTCTCTGATTGGTTACGCTACTCACTATCTATTCTGTTATGGATAGTGAGTTGTCCAGAAGTGTGCCCTTGTTAACAAAATGACGGCCACTTCTTTGCGTTTTTGAAGTGTCTATGAAGAGGATTTAGATAAAGTTTTGAACGAAAGTAGATTTATACTAAAACAATTAGATTTCTCAATCTCGATTTCTATGATATCACGCGATAGAAATCTCGAGTTTATAATCTAATTGTTAATTGTAATACGAATGAATGTTGGCACAGAGACACTTAGGTGTTTCTGTTGACATTTAGGAGAACACGACTGAAAACACCACGAAATGAATAACATTTGGACGCCTGGAAAGCCTGCCAAATATTAACTCACTTTTGTCNTGTCTAAAACAAGAAACAAAATGGAGTGAATTCGCTTTAAATAGGGCACTACACTACCCAACTAAGCTCTCGTTAGGTGTTTTGTAAACGCATTTATCCTCATCGTTTACCATTGATCAGAAAGGTATCATTGGGTGTTTTTAGGAGAAAAAATTAGTTGTTTCACTCACGAAGAACTAACCACACCGAGATCGTTTTCATGGTGTTTGGAAACCCTTACTATGGCTTAGATTCTGAATTCTCAAGCCTTTTTCTGTTCTGAATACAGGTCGCTCTAGCCTGGGGCATCAAGCGTGGAACTCCAGTCCTGCCTAAAGCTGTCTCTGAAAATCACATCAAAGAGAATCTTGAAGCACTTCATATAAAACTAGACGAAGATGACATGGAGGCGATTAAAAACATTGGAATACATCAGCGATATTTTGTTCAGACATGGATGTACAAACCTGAGGAAATTCCTGAGAATCACTGGGACGGCGAGGACTAAAGCCGATTGAGACAAATGTAGTTTATATTCATAGTTGATAGACCCTTTTTACCGATATGGCAGCCATTTTGAATTAATTGTTTTAAATAGCTATTATGGGATGGTCAGGGGGCAAATAAATACTAATTTGCCCCCTGAGCATCCCATAATAGCTATTTGAAACAATGAATTCAAAATGGCCGCCGTATCAGTAAAAAGGTCTATTACTGATTGTCAACGCTAATAGCAAGATGAATGAAGGAACTAGCTCTGAGTTCTTAATTGTGACTTAAAACGGCGACAGGATAAACTATTCAGCAATCTGTTTAATTCCAGTAGATCATGGTTAATTCCTATTGGCCAATAACTGACGCTTCACTGATCTACTGAGCTACAAATGGGAATAAAAGACATTTAGTTTTTCATGGACTCCATACAAATTTGAGTCGTCCTAAAATTTATTCTTTAGCTTCATATCTATTGTAATAGTATGAAATTTTTTCTTGTAATCTGCGTGTGCAAAGGGGTAAATGCCGAGGGTAACCCTAAAATGCAGTAAAATTTCACCAAGGATTGATGGGGGAGAAGAACGCGCCCACCGAGTTGTTTTCAGATTGTGGCTCCAACGTTTTTTACTTTGGAACGCATTGGCATTGAAATTGATTCCGCTATAGTTGGTTATCTCACAGTGTGTAAGTAGCCATAGAGACGTTTACTAAAAGTTGCTAACTTTCGACGATCGAGTTGCGTTCGCCTTCCCTCTCCGTTAAAATCTTGAAGAAAAAATAGCGCTGTTTTGTCCACTCAGACAGAGCAGGAATGGTAAAATCCCAGTTTTACTTAGATGATTAGAGCCATGCTACGTTTAAATAAATNTGAGGAAATTCCTGAGAATCACTGGGACGGCGAAGACTAAAACCGATTGAGACAAATGTAGTTTATATTCATAGTTGATAGACCCTTTTTTGGCGATATGGCAGCCACTTTAAATTAATTCTTTCAAATAGCTATTATGGGATACTCAGGGGGCAAATAAATACTAATTTGACCCCTGAGCATCCCATAATAGCTATTTGAAACAATGAATTCAAAATGGCCGCCGTATCGGTAAAAAGGTCTATTGCTGATTGTCAACGATAATCGCAATGATGAATGAAGCAACCAGCACTGAGTTCTTAATTGTGACTTAAAACGGCGACAGGATAAACTATTCAGCAATCTGTTTAATTCCAATAGATCATGGTTAATTCCTATTGGCCAATAAATGACACTTCACTGATCTGCTGAACTACAAATGGGAATAAAAGACATTTAGTTTTTCATGGACTCCATTCAAATTTGAGTCGTCCTAAAATTTATTCTTTAGCTTCATATCTATGGTAATAGTCTAAAATTTTTTCTTGTAATCTGCGTGTATAAAGGGGTAAATGCCGAGGGTAACCCTAAAATGAACTAACATCTCACCAAGGATCGATGGGGGAGAAGAACGCGCCTACAGAGTTGTTTTGAGATTGTGGCTCCAACGTTTTTACTTTTGAGCGCACTGGCATTGAAATTGATTCCGCTATAGTTGGTTATCTAAATACATATGGAAAAGTCCGTTGTATTCAGGATTATGAATAAAGATAAACCTACCTTACTTCAGGTGTCTGTTTCCTTGTCCTCTTTATATCCCTTTCAGGACTAGGCTGTTCACAGCCCTCTATTTTCTCGTATTTTCATTCGATTTTTGAAAGCACGGATAGAATCACGAGAAAATTGGACGCCAGCGCAAAAAGAAAGACTTGACTGAGTAGGGGGTGGCGACCGAGATTCTTCTTGCTCGCTTCGCTCGCAGACCCCAGCCTCTACCGCTGCGTGCTTCGCGCTCACGATCACTTCGCTCGCTTTTTCTTTCGCGTGCTTAAATAGAGAGACTTTTAACAGTCTATTTCAGGACAAAGCAGTGAAACTAAAAATCACTTTAATAGTCATAAATCGACCTAGAAACCCCAAGAAAAACAAGAAAGCACACACGTGATGCAAGGTAGGTTTATCTCAGTACTCCGTCGTATTTTCTAGGCTTAGAATATAAACTTTTTTCCCATACAAACCCTTGTATCTCGACTGTTCCGTAACCTTAGAACTGCTGTATCGATACAGCGGGCGCGGCGGTTCATTTGTGCCGGAGCTTGGGGTACCTCTGGTCTAAATAATTGACTGTCTCAGCACTTGCTCGTATGCCTGACTGTATAAACGGCTAGTGAAGCGGACGGGACTTTCTAATTTTCCCCTAAGGAACAGGGATGAGGCAGTGGTGAGAGCGCTCGCCTCCCATGAATGTGGCCCGGCTTCGATTCCCGCCCGCTGTCATATGTGGCCGGAGTTTGTTGTTGGTTCTCGCCTTGCTCCGAGGGGTTTTTCTCCGGGTTCTCCTGTTTCCCTCCCTCCACAAAAACTAACATGTCCAAATTCTAATTCGATCAGGATAGAGGACCCACATGAAAACCAGCAAGTCTGATGTGGCTTCCTCTAAATATGTACAATTATTCCACGAGCGCGTGTTGGATATGAGATGACCAACGAGGCGCGTAGGGCCGAGTTGGCTATAATCATGTCATATCCAACAAACGCGAGTGGAGTAATTACCCAGGCAGTGACGCCTGGGTGTAAATTTCGGCTCCGTTTGTTTGTTTGTTTTTTTTTCCTCGTTCAGTCACAAATCGCCGTCTGGTCTCCAAAGCGCATGCGTCACCTGTGCATGCGTACAGCACATGGAATATACAGCAATCTAGTTCCCAGAGCCCACGGGTTTTTTGGTCAGCGCCACGACACGGAGCTCTGGAATAATCAATTTCCAGGCTCCAAGATTTTAGGAGTTCCGCTTTCACGGCGCATGCGTAGCGGGGATCCGCGGACCGGGGATCAGCGTTTTCGGTTTACTCCTCAGTATCAGATGGCTGTCTGGCCGTGTCTGGTCATCGCTTTTTAAAATATCGTTCATATTTTATTCTTTGCTTATACATAAGCTCTGAAATAGAAAAAAAGGAAGAATTTCAGTCTTTGAAAACATAAGATTTGTCGTGGAAGAAAGCGCGAGCTCGTTGCATTGTTTCGTGTCAATTCGTGACTAATCCAAACCTTTCAGGTTGTTGCAAACAATAAACATTTCAGAAATTATCTTTGGCGTTCACGGTTTAACTGAAAAAACTAAAATAGCCCAAAGAAAATACATCCACTGACTGGTTAAAAATCGTGTTTTTATTAAGCAAAGATTATGAGCTCGAGATTTCCATCGCGTGATAGTTGACGAGGGCGCAGCCCGAGTCAACTATCACGCGATAGAAATCAAGAGGGAATAATCTAATTGTTTTAGTATAAATCTGCTAGTCACAGACACTTCGAAAATGCCGAGACGCGGCCGTCATTTTGTTAACAAGGGCACACGGCTACGCTATTCACTTCTATCACAGAATAGATAGTGAGTAACGTAGCCAATCAGAGAACGGCATTCGTGATACAACGCTAGTAGATTTATACTAATTAACAATTAGATTATGAGCTCGAGATTTCTATGAGGTGATAACTGATGAGGCCGAAGGCCGAATCAACTCTCTCCTCGTAGAAATCGAGAGCAAATAATCTAATTGTTTTAGTAGAATTCTAACTTAAATTAACGCATATAATGGTGTCCAAATATTTTTCGACGCATTATTAAACTTAACGCTTAAACAGAATCGCACGTATTGAATTGTCCTTGGTAAATTTGCAGTTGTTTTCGCGCGCGCACCGGTTTTTCAATAATTTCAAGTTTTTAAAGTCAAGAGCCCGTTTACATCATGTCCTTCTTTTTGTCTTTTCAGGAATATAATTATCCATTTACATTTAAACTTTCTTCGAAGACTTCGGAAAAACGATAAAAACGTCGCATTTCGTGGACGAACGACAGCTACTGCATTCTAATGGCTGATAGTGTACGAGTAGCTCAGCCAATCAGATTGCAGCATTTGCATTAGTATACTAATAGAATTCTACTAAAACTCGATAGAAACACAGATTCGCAGGAGCTGTTGACGTGATGATGGCTGAAGCAAAGAGAATTTACCATTTGATGATCAAAGAAAACAAGTTGTTTTCTTTTCTTCGTCGCGGTACTTTCTGAAAAAAAAAGGAAAACATGTTCTCCGTGTTGCTATCGATTCGTGAAAGCTTGGGAGAACTCGAAAAAGCTGTGGAAACACTCACCTGTCGGCTCATGTTCCCACAATATTTCTCTGGCATTCTCCCAAACTTCGATTCGGGTTTCTGTAACTCGATAGGTACACGGTACATGTTTTCTGCTTCTTCAGATCACGTCTTCAGTGGAAAAATATTTCGAGTCAAAACTGACAATTTTTTTTTTAACAACAACAGTCAAAGTCAAACGAGACAATAGAAACTGAAAGGAAAGGTAAAATAATAATAAAAAAAATCATAATCGAACTCGTGACTCGAACATGACTTTAGTCAGGCTACGATTAAACTTGAACACAATCAAAGGTCACAAGCAACCGTATCCGAATTCACGGACTGATCACGGGACGCGTACTCGCCCATTTGGAGCTGTTCCTTTGTGGTAGATAGTACTGCGGATTACAATGGTAAGCGAACAGATGCCAAGCAATCATACCTTGCTATAAGTTTATATTTCGTATTTTTCCAAGATCCTTTACACGTCCACCCATTGAGAGTTCAATTGACTGCAGGTCCTAGTGAGGGAGGCTAGCATTCAGTGTGATAGGATTAGGCCTTTAGAGACAGAGCGAGTCGAACATCATGAAATACGAATAATCAGAAGCTATTCAGTTGCTTCACTAGTTTTTAAGAAGCCTTTAGAAAGGCAGCTTAAGAGATCTTGCGGCCCTTACCTTAAGCATTGAAAACGAAACTTAGCCTAGACAAATGAGGAAGTTAAATTGGCGTGTAATAAAATCACCCGTATACGATTTCTTTGGTTAGGCGGCTGCTGAAGTTGAGCTTAACAATGGGGCACGTATGCCTTCTATCGCTTTGGGGTAAGTCTTGCTGGTTTAATCATTTGATTCAAATAATGATATACAGTCAGGAGCCATAATCAGGGACGGAGACCGTAAGTCTTGGGATCTGCGCGCACCTATGATATGGGACAATTTTTCTATTTTTAGAACTAATTGCGCAACCAATGACGATATATATCCGCGCGGATCCACGCACATGTCGGGGGTTCTTACGTGGGTGTTGTCACGTTGTGTGATCACGAAATGGTGAGAGTTGCGAGATTCTCTTGCAGATTTTTCACAGCGATGGCAGGTAATAAGGCTGAGAATAAGAACCAGGGTTCTTATATGTAGTTTTACGCTCTGAGCTAATGGAAAAGGTGAGTTTTTCAGGGTCGAAAACAAGGCTTGAATCTCGCGCTGTGAATGAATAATATCTGCTCGCGCTAGTTGTACGCGTAAGCTTTTGCGTTTGTTTTGTAAAGAAAAGTTATGTAAGAAAACTCTTTACTCTGGTATCGAGTTAATTCGTGAGTTTCCCACACAATGCTTCATCATAAGCAAAACCTGTTTTTGATAGTTTCTTATTGTTTCTGCTTGTTTGGTGAGTTTGCAAAAGTTTTTGAAAGGATCATCTGACGCGTACAAGTAGCTCATTTGCATAGTGCAGCGGGTGCACTTTCAAGTCCGAGTCGGTGTTTTCAATTGTCAACAAATCTTGACAAGGTTTCTTTCGTTGTTATTTGTGCTGAGATGCTGCAACAGTTTTCACCAACGCCAAAAGGCCACTTACATTATGTGTGTTTCTTTAACATAGCGAAATTTTACTCTGCGAAAATAGACAAGGAGTGTTGATAACTCGACCAACAAAATCGAAATCGTTCTTCGAATTAAAGAAAGCGTCATCGTAACTTTGCTGATTATTTCTGCTTTATTCACTTATTTTCAGCTAAGCTTTTTTAAAACATGTTCTCAAACATTTATCAACCTTAAACATATTTAAAAACTGGAGATGTTATCTGAGTTCGGTGTAACTTTTCACACAAAAGTGCGGAAGTCCAATTTGTCATGTTTTACTGATTGTACAAAACACGCATCGGCGGACGCTCTTATTCATCGACAACAGACAATTTATTGGATTTTTACACGAACAAAACTGAGCAGTGATGACGTCATATTGAACAAACAATATCTCTAGAAATATTAAGCAGTGTTCAATATCTCTAGAAATATTGAAGCAGTGTTCTTGAAACTTGGCACCACAAATGTACATCACTTGAAACTTGGCACATTTGTGGTGTCAAGTTTCAAGAACACTGCTTCCATATTTCCAGAGATATCATTTGTTCAATATTTTACCACCTTTAGTTGCAAACCTTATGACCTCATCACTGATCTAATTAGCATAATAGGAAAACGTCAAAGTCTCTGAAACGAAAACTGATATTTCAAAACTAAAACCGCCATTCTTCTGTACTTTGAAAGGCCTTTCAGATAAGCAGAAATTATTTTTCATGTCATATACACTTTAAAGGCATTCTTTCATTTAGAAAATGACTAACTGAGCTTTTGTTCAGACCAGAACAAAGTGACCGCATTAACTGGGTGGCCGTGAGGCGGGATTTTACTGTATTGCATGTATAAGACGAAGAAATGGAGTTTCTATATTGAAATATTGCTAATAATCAGACAGTTTCGGGATAGTACTAATTGGCACCGACTCGGACCCAGTCCATTCTTGGTGAGTTAGCAACTGGGCGTGACACTAAAAAATCAGAAGGTGGAAGGCGTGTAGTGGTAAATAATGATTGTCTTTTGAGTGACTACTTTACTTAAGAACCACCGCCGTATACGCGTTAACTTGGAGTTACAAATAAATCTTGAAAAGTTAGGTTAACCTTGACAAGGATCATGTTTAATCAACTCTGACTTTTGGCAATTGAAGGACTTGGCAAATTATGGAGGGAGAGGTCAGTAAGGCTATCAGGCTTGCTCTGCAGTATGGGTACAGACACATTGACGGTGCGCATTTTTACGGAAATGAAGAAGAAATTGGCGAGGCCTTGGCGGAAGTCTTCAGAGAAGGAAAGTTGAAAAGGGAAGATGTCTTCGTCACGTCAAAACTCTGGTAGGCATTCTGTGGCGCTAGGGAGGTATCCGAGGGGTCAACTGAACGCAGGTCGGCTTGAGAGTCAAAGATATCTAAATATTCCTGGGGGGGGGGGGGNATGTATTTAATTTCCTGATGATATGCATCCCCTTTGCATAGGAGATCTGTAGACCCTGTGTGAAGTGTGTTGAGGCGCGCGAGTGGGGCGGAGGGGGGGAGGGACTGCAGCGGCGTTGTCTTCGCGAGGTTTTGTTTCGTTAGACATCAATACACATGATTACTACAATGACTCTCTCCACCCTGGAGAGTGGAACTGTCGGCGCTGAACTCTTTCAGCATTTCTGTAGCATAAAGTCACGATGGAGTCTTTATAAGGAATCCTTATATTTATCATAATTCAGATACATTCAGATATTTGTATACAGATATTAAAGGCCAATTTCCTCAAGTAGAAGTGCCTGCGGGGAATCATGGCAGTTGCATTCATGAAAACAAATATCCAGTCTAAGATGATAAATACAACTCACCATGATACCCAGCAGCCGCATCTTTGAGAGGGAATTAGCCATTGTAATCACCATCAGTTGAAGCTTTATAACTCAGGTGTTCAAGTTACAGTTCCTCCCATTGGATAAAAACCAGGCAATAAGATATCTGTGAGTTTTCCCGCGCTTTCAACCGGTTGCACGGTGACATTGCAAGTTCTGACTGGTCCTTTATGCGTATCATGAATGGCAAAAGTTGGTTTGACTTCACGAAGAGTTAGAAAACCGCCCTTAGTAATCATAGGTCACTTGTTAAAGTTCTATTTATTTTGGTTTTTTCGCAGGAATAACTGCCATGCACCTGAAGATGTGTTGCCAGCTTGCCAGGAGACTCTGAAAAAGCTACAGTTAGACTACCTGGACTTGTACTTGGTAAAAAGACTTACGTATAAATTGTACCGTTTCATGTGTCATGTTTTGGCTGCCAGGGTAGTAATTAGATACTTTATACTGTTACAAACATATAGAACTTGTTTTCAGATTAATGCATTTATGTTTAATTTTACCGTAACAAATTCTTTTGAAACGTTTCACCGCACTAAAAATATCAGCATTGTTAATAACAACGTTTTTGTTTCCGTCCTTTCGCCTTCATTTCTGAATGGTGTTTTCAAACGATGAGGATTACCAGAACTCCTGCTAGGTCTAACAGGAAAAGAAGATTATAGCTGACTTCCTCTTTAAAAATGTAACACAAACAGCGGTGATCAGTAAACATTGTTTTCCAAGGCACTCTAATACTGAAATATCACCGCTGTTTGTGTTATATTGCTAATCAAGCTACGATGGCTTAAGAACAAGAGTTTACATGATTTTTTTCTTGCTTGTGTTTAGATACATATGCCTTGGGCATTCAAGAAAGAGGCATTCAAGAAAGACACATTTTTTCCCAGATGCATTGCAGATGGTGTGATTGGATATTCAGCAGAAGGCATAGCAAATACCTGGAAGGTACTCACTAAACTTTGTTCCCATGATCTGTCCAAAATGGTGGACAAGGTCGGGACAGACCTTATTTGCTCGCCGTGTTCGCCATCTTGGAAAGATCATGGACGCAAGGTTGTTGCTCACTTATGATCTAATCAGACCCAGAAAACAGCGCGCGGTCCACGAAATGCCTAACTTCTTTAGTCTCTTGAGAGACATGACTAACAGGCATTTGTGATAACGGAAATTAATTTGTGATATCTCTCAGTTATTACGCTTGCTGTGATTGGTCAATTTAGCGGGCCGTATTCTAATGTACGTCTCGCTAAAATTTAAAGCTGTTTTTGTTGCCAAAATGTTTCGTGATTTATCGCCAAGTGTTCTTAACTTTTATAGCCAGTAAATAAAAGTTTAAAACTTTCTTTTACTTTATATTGTGTATTAAAACGTGCCTACGACTTAACAACTATTTCAAATTGACTCGTTTTGCTTTCGACGTGCGTCACAAATTTGAAGCAGTTTCGTGTAAATGGAAATCGTTCCCAACCTCGTCAGACACACGGTAGAGATCAAAGAAATATCTTACTAACCTCGTCTTCTCGGTCCGTACTGTAAGTTAAGGATCCTCACTTTTTCCCCTTCGACACGCAGTTCGCGCTTGAGCCACTGATAAATCGAAGGGAAAAAAACTCGGTCCGTAACTTGCAGTACTTGCAGGACCTCAAAATCGGTTAGTAAGAGGCATTTACAGGATCCATGTTGACAATATTAATGGTTGAATGGGAAGAGGCAGTCAATCATGGAATGTTTTCATTTTTACCAAGCGCGCTTCTCTCGAGGAAGAATGCTGCTCAAGAAACAGCGAAAAATTCATGCTTTTCATGATTTCAAATTTTCCCCGAGTTGCTCTCGTAATTCATGTCTTTCATGTTTGATTGGTACATTCAAATTTTTATGCTTTGAAATAATAATAGATAGAAGTTCTTAGCCTGAGACAGCTGAATGTTGGTGTTTGAAAATTTCACCATTTGATGAAAAGCCGTAAACCTCGCCCAAAATTCATTAGCCTGCGTGTGTGGCTTCTCTGACTAACAGCACGTTAAATCCTAGATACTTGCGCTATAAGATATTTGCAATCCAATTGCAACTGAAATGCACATGTAATTGTCGTTTAATTCGTTTCCACAATAGACGACAACCATTCTTTAACCAGTTGTATTGACTGTGTTCTTTCTATAAACCTTCCTTTACTACAGGCCATGGAACAACTTGTTGACAAGGGCCTCTGTAAAGCCATTGGAATCTCAAACTTCACCATCAAGAAGACTCAAGCTCTTCTGGAAACTGCCAGGATAGTGCCAGCTTGCAATCAAGGTATGTTCTTGGGTTTCAAGAGTTGAAGGTTTGAAGATGTTAGTGCTTTGCAACAGCATTAGCAGCGTGCATCGGCGACTGTCGTGTTTGAATCTGGTATTTAGGTTCCTAGTGGGAGGTGGGAATGATGATTACGTAACAGAACACAACTACCGGCACCCTACAAACGACTTATTCAGCACATAAACAAAACCCAGAAATGGACTTGTAACAGACCGACCTAATTTGACTAGTAGACGGACCTCAAACAGACTAACTTAACTGGTCTTAATTTGACTAACAATAGAGTCAACTGATAAACGGATCGAAACTTACCACAACCGACTAACTGACTGCTGACAAACTTTCAGCCGATACCATCGTGGCTTAACTGACCAATCACTTTCAACGGACCAGACTTGTAACACCATCGACTAACACTATTCACTTGACTCTCAAGATGACTTCCGCTCAGGTTATCGAAACGTCAGTCACCAACAACACTTCTTTTCAGAACTACTCTCACCCGGACGATCACACAAGATGAACTAACGATACTCCTGGGTTCAAACCATTTGCTATGATTTCTTATATTAGAGGAAAACGTGAATAAGCTCAGTTATCGTTTTCTCACCATGCTGGTTGAAAATGGGAGCGATAGTGTCTTAAATTAGCAGAAAACGTGTTTGAACGAGAGTTTTAGTTGATGAGAATAAAGACCAATGAAAATCACGTAACTGGCTTGCCGGCATAATGTTCGCCTTCGCCAATTTCAATTCACGTTGTCGGTAACTCCATATGTTGTTGAAAAAACACAAGCTCGATCACGACCTGATCACGTGTGAGTCGAACGTTCAACGCCTTCCAGTTGTTGTTTCCCTAGGGAGTTAATAGTGAGTTTTGGCCTATGACACGTAACACCCGGCATGTTCTCCTCCAATGGGAGGTATAACACTTTTTGTTTTCTATTTGACAGTGGAACTTCATCCTTATTTGCCACAAGAAGAGCTCATAACTTTCTCCAAAAGTAAAGGTACAAACAGCAGCTCAACTCTAATTTTAAAATGGTTCACCTTCATTCACAGTTGTATTCTTATTTTGCCTATTTCGTGCAAATACGTGGCTAACATTGCATGTTGTGATTTCTTTTTAGGGATTGTTGTCACAGCTTATTCTCCGTTAGGATCTCCTACCAGACCAGAAAGCGTCTTTCCTGACAAGGCAACAGAGCCGATCGTGTTGGAAAATCCAGTGCTGAAGGAAATTGCAGAGAAACATAACACTAGCGCCGCTTTGGTAAGGACCAACAGCGTCTGAACACAGATACTTACACAGTCCCCGTTTTCCCCACGTAGCGTCCATGAGCTCCAAGGGTCTGGGGAGAGAGAGGACAGATTCAATTGTCATTATGAGCAGCAGAGTAAAGTTTCCCAGTTAGAACAGAGTGGGTAATAGACGTTATTGAACAGGGACGGATCGGTTAAATTTCTTTGAAATAAACAGCATGCGATCCCTGCTTTCTCCTCTCAAAAAGGCTTACAAACGTTTGTTTCTTGTCTAAAACAAGAAACAAAATGGAGTGAATTCGCTTTAAATAGGGCACTACACTACCCAACTAAGCTCTCGTTAGGTGTTTTGTAAACGCATTTATCCTCATCGTTTACCATTGATCAGAAAGGCGTCATTGGGTGTTTTTAGGAGAAAAAATTAGTTGTTTCACTCACGAAGAACTAACCACACCGAGATCGTTTTCATGGTGTTTGGAAACCCTTACTATGGCTTAGATTCTGAATTCTCAAGCCTTTTTCTGTTCTGAATACAGGTCGCTCTAGCCTGGGGCATCAAGCGTGGAACTCCAGTCCTGCCTAAAGCTGTCTCTGAAAATCACATCAAAGAGAATCTTGAAGCACTTCATGTAAAACTAGACNACAAATATTCAGTGGACAAAGGTTGAACAAAAATCTATTGTCACTTTTATTTCAGCGGAATTACCTTAACAACACCAATTTTATTACATTTGTTTTTTGTTTACCAACATAATGAAGAGGAAGTTCTGACACAGACTAAAGAGCAAATCAAGCTGAGAATCAACATTGAATGGTTAGGCTTAAAGGCTGTTGGTTGCTTGTTGCTTGAATTCCATCTCATCTCCACTGCAGTAACTACTCCTCCCCATCCCACAGATCTTTAGGAACTTCCAGCTTACTGTTAGTGTATGGCCAGTGCATATTAAAGTATCGATGGCGGACGCCAATGTTCTCGACCGCCTTCATGTCGTCGTCGTCCAGTTTAACATTAAGGGCTTCTAGATTCTCCTTGATGTGGTTTTCAGAGACAGATTTTGGAAGAACTGAAATTCCACGCTTGATTCCCCAGGCTAGAGCGACCTGGAGGGAAAATAAACACACCAAGATGGCAGTGACTTCTTGGGATAATAACGAATGGAGTTTTCGATAGACCAAAACAGCTTTTAATAAACAGTGTATGATTTTACACGTTTCGCATTTCATGGGGAAATTAAGTCTAGTATACTGAGGTGAAAGTTTAAACGGTTTCTAAATTTGGATCTGACCGTCATTCATTTCATTTTTGATCTACGCAATATTCTTCTTTCAAATCACACCGTTTGCTTTATCATAACCTTATTATATATTCACGATAATCGTTACTGTTTTAGTTTTAGTTTACAAAAGCTTTTGTAGCACTGTATGTATTTATGGTCATGTAAATAAAGCTACTTGTTGTTGTTGTTGTTGTTGAAAGTGGAATACTTTAATTTGAGCTTTGTCAGACACAAAAACATGTAAGGTAGACTGGTACATATCTTCCATTTGTTTTATCTTACCAGTGCGACAGTGGTGTTGTGTTTCTCGGCAATTTTCTTCAAAACTGGTTCATTCAATACGATAGGATCATCCTTACGGACAAACCCACTTGGTCTGTCACTTGATCCTAAGGGAGAGTAACCTGCCACTACAATCCCTAAAATTAAGGCGTTAAGATCCAATAAGATAAAGAACTATTTGAAACAAGTTGTTGCTCTGGGAAAGTGATAGCCTGTAAGCAGGCTCACGTTGGAGCACAAGCGCGCGCGGCGAAGTCGCGAGACGAGAAAATACTCCTTTCCGCCGAATCGCTTTGCTATTCGCCGCTCGCGCGTGTGACTCAAAGGTGAGTCTGCTCGCAGGTTAGGAAAGTGACCAAAGGGCCGCCCCCCTCCCTCTTTTTCTCAACGAAAAATCAGGAAGATGGACACATCTTCGCCATCGCCGTTAGCGGTAAAAGCCATCACCCCATTGAAACCCTCAAGTCGGAATGACTGTTGCTCAGTCAATGACCCTTTTGAAGCATTCGCAAGAGAGAATTATTATAGAGCAAAGACGTTTTAATCACGACTTTGTTTAATTTTCATTTTTTTAAAAAACTAAATCTTATATTTTCAAGATTACTCAGCATTGACGGATAAAGGTTATGCAGCCTACCTTTGCTGTCGCAGTACTTTTTTAGTTCTTCTTGGCGAAAATACGGATGGCATTCCACTACAAAAGTAACAATATATCACTTACAGGCTAACCACACAACGTAGTTACTCATAGCTAAGACAGAACAAATCAATGAAAGTTGAAAAATTTATAATAGTATATAAGTTCACCTTGGTTACAAGCTGGCATTATTTTGGCAGTTTTCAGAAGATCTTCCGTTTTCTTGATGGTGTAATTTGAAATGCCAATGGCCTTACACAGGCCTTTCTCAACAAGTTCTTCCATGGCCTGGCATAAAAAAAAGAGCAGAATCATTTACAGTATTATGCCCATAAAAGAGACCAATATAGGCGTGGCTCGAGATTTATTTGACCCCCAAAAGGTACCACCTTAATGGAGATGACAGCAGGTTTCGTATAATTACTGTTTTCGCGTGCATCCTAAAGGATAATTAAACTGCACGCAGTTTCTCTTTTGCTCGAAAATCCGTGGGGATGAACGCAAAATAAGAGAGCGTAAGAGCGTGACATGCTAGCATCCCTTGAAGGCGGCCGCGGGCTGCATGTCACGCTCGAAAGCTCATGTTGCTTTGTTTTGCGATCGTAATTGCTTTCTTCCCCACGAATCTAGAGCAAAAGAGAGATTGCTCACAGTCTAAAAGATACTTTGATGGTTAAAAATAGTCGCATTTCGTCCTGACCAACCGAAGTGAGACCAAAATCCTTGATTTATACCCCTAAGCGAGACGAGCATCCCTGACCTTTTAATATGGGAGTCCCCCCCCTCCCGGGGGGGGAATTGACTACATACGCAAACATCTGGTAGCACAATGGTCGTTTCACTTACCTTCCATGTCTTAGCAAAACGTTCAGCGGAGTAGCCAAGAATTCTTTCAGGATCAGGTTCTTTTTTTTCTTTGTTGAAGGAATTTGGCAAATGGATCTGAAAAAAGGAACCCGGTATTCGTTTAGTGATTAATTGCTCTAGGGCTGTGATAACTATAACTTAATGTCCTATTCATTGCTAAAGAAAATGTCCTGATGAAAACGTGGTTATCAGGACTCATTGCGGTGTTTGTTAGCTTGTGTACAGTCGCCCCCTGCCCTCAAAAAAATCGGGGAGCGGGCGGCTGCTCACAGGCTAGTGTTTGTGGAATTTCTTGGTTGATGATGACATTTCGATCAGTTCTTATTAGAAATAGTTTCCACATTAGGGACAGCCAGATGTATGTCCGTCATCCCCTTCCCTCTTGAGGAGATGAGGAAAAACTGTCATCAAAAGGAAGGCAAAACAGGTGGTAAAATGGAAAAAATGTAAAGGTTAATTCTGCTTATTTCTTTTTAAGCAATACTGTAGACTTCATGTCACGAAAGAAGGGCTTAGTCTAAATTTAAAGGGAGAGCGGTTTTATCTTGATAAGCCTTAGGCCCTGGTTGTTGGAAAGGTGGTTAACGCTATCCACCGGATAAGTCACTATCTAGTGGATAGTGTGGTTTTGGTTTTTAACACTTATCCGCTGGAAAGCACTTTATTCGGTGGATATCGTTATCCAGCCTTCTAACAACCGGGATCAGAAAGAAAAGAGAGTGACTTTTACCAGGTACAGATCTAGATAGTCTGTTTGTAGATCATTCAGTGTTTTCTGACATGCAGGCAAGACATCCTCTGGGGCATGCGCAGTGCACCTGAAAACAAAAAATCAGACGTCATAGCACTAGCTTAACCCTTAATGCTCTGGATTCCAAAGAGAGAGACACCCAGGTTCATGACCAACAACCGGATTCGTTTCTTGTGATGCTCTTGAGTCTCTTCCCATTGCTGCCT